CCTTAGCGTTTTAACAACATAAGATGCTCCCGGCACCCCAACTCTATAAATACAGGCGTGGAGCCACAGCCCCCTCAGGCAGTTCTGCGGTGGATTTTCTTCACGTGGCTGCTCACCTGGCGCTGGGGGCTTTCCGTCTCTTTTCAGGCTTAGAAAGAGACAAGTTTGACAATAAGACTGTCACCTTTGAAGAGCACATCAAGGAGGAGCACAACATGTGGCACTACCTGTGCTTCATCGTCCTGGTCAAAGTCAAGGACTCCACGGAATACACGGGGCCCGAGAGCTACGTGGCGGAGATGATCCAGGTGAGCGGGCCGGCTCCGGAGGCGGGGCCGCCGGCCGCTGGCCTGGCCTGGCCTTGGGCCAGCGGGGAGGTCACACGGCAGAAAGGTAACCTCTGATGTTTACTGGGCCTTTATTGTGACCGGGCGCTAGACTCTAACCCTTTGTGTGTGTGTCCCCAAGTGACCTTCGGGAGCTCCAGACAGGCAGTGTCGTCCCCAAGTTAGAGGAGGAACGGAGGCTCAGGGATTAGCGCAGGGACGGAGCTGGGTCTGGGGCTTTAGCCGAGACCTGCCAGCGCCTGACTCCAGCCTCTGCTCCGCCTCTCTCCCTGGTAATGGATGCTTTCGTTGTTGTTGCTGCTTTGGGGGGTGGGGGGACTGTTTGCCTTAAATAAGAGCTGGTCTCAGAGAGGTACGTTTATAAAATCGCCCGGTAGGGTTCAGCGTGATTGGCGTGTTTCTTTGGGCCCAGCCGCGCCTTTTGGGGGCCACCTGCTGCTGCTCAGGAAGGGAGCGTGCGATGGAGGGCTGTGAGGCCTGGTTAGTGTTTGCGCTGACGGGGAACGCAAGCGCCGTGTCCCGGGAGGAGGGGCGCTGCCCGGGCCCCCGGAGCGCCCTTCTCAGGCAGGGCTTTGTGGAGGCCCCAATCGCGTGCTGGGGGGTCCTGGGGCCAGCTGTCCCCACATATCTGTGGTTTCTCAACGTCGTTAAACTGACAGGAGCATGGGATAGAGTGAGGAGGTTGCCTGCGAGGCTCGCTGGGGGAGGGGATCCTGGGCCACTATAAAGGTTCCCAGTTACCGAGGACTCGAGCGCTCTGCCCGGCCACGCTTTGCTGAACGAGCCCTTCTGTGCTCCCCATGCAGATGTGACTTTAAAGCTTTTTCTGTACAGAGACCCCAGGTGAGGTCTGTTCATATAAGTATCATTCATACGCCTGAATGAGGGCAGGCTGTGGGTTTTACTGCCAGCAGGCCGCAGGCAGTCATGTGACAATATTCTCGAACAGCCGTGTGACGCCAGCTTTGCGGCCTCATCAGCGGCCTCTAGGGGTCCCGAGGGCTGTCTGGGGACACTGTACCGTCTGTCCCCGTGAGGTCCTGCAAGTCTGATGCTGTGCTTTTCAAATTGGAGTGTGCGTGTGAATCACTTGGAGACCTTGCTGGAACTCAGGTTCCTATTCAGCGGGCACTGGCCGGGCTGCAGCCTGCACATCCCACCAGCTCCCGGGGCCGTGATGCTGCTGGTCTAGGCACTGCGCTGAGTACTGAGAGTGTGACAGAAGGCACATTGCCGACACTGGGGATGTGAATGCTGAGGGGACGGACTCCTGCGCTCCTGCCTGTGTCTGGCCCTCTGTGGTTTGTGAACTCCTTCACATCTGTGACTGGGTTTGATCATTAAAATTATACCCCCACGTGGGGAACCAGTAAGTGAGAACTTTGGGGGCGAGGAGAAAGGGCTGAGGTTTCACAGCAGAGATGACTTTAAAAAGGGGTTTGAAGGAAAGACGGGTTAGGAGACCAGGGTGATCGATTAGCGGAGGGAAGGAGGAAAAAATGAGCCCGGGAAAGGGGGAGAAAAAGGCCGAGTTCCAGAGTTAGGGGGATGGGTCTCCTGTTTGGCAGATGACAGCCAGGCTCGCGTTGAGTGGCTTGCCCAGGAAGAGCTGAGAAAACGCAGGGCTGAGGTGCCAGCCTGGGTTTAATGAGTTGGAAGTGACTCTATAATCAGTGCGGGAGGGGATGGGCGGTGTGAGCACACAGCACCCCTGTTTCTGAGGGGACTAGGGACCCCGATGGTGGCCAGTGCAGACTGTCACAGTAAGGTCTCTGGGGTCAGGACACAGCGACTGAAAAGTCCTCAGATCCGTTCTTTTCTTCCGATCATTGAAACTGCCAAGTGAACCCGTATCTCATCCATGTTCGTGCTGACACAAACCCGCCCGCGTCCACACAGTCAGTGACTTTCATTTGCATCCAGTTTCTTAGGGTTTAGAAGAGGTGGCCTGTGGCTTTCACCCTGTCACATGCTCCTTTTCCCCCTCACTTTGTTGTCTTCGCTCACGTGTTGGAATGTGCCCCATCTTTTAGTCTTCGGGGGCCAGTTCCGAGGTTTTCTGGTAATCACCTTCCTTTATGGTCACAGAGGACTCGGGCATGGTTCTGGGTTCTGTCTCGGTTGTGAAGACTTAAAGGGGCCTCATGAGCAGTTCCCCTGAT